CGAATGCATTTTTGTGCAGAAATTCAATGTGCATTGATAGCACCTGAGTTGGCAAATATATATTCGTTATATTCCTTAGTAAATATTTTCATCACATATGTATGTAGGTTTAAAATAAATTACTCCACCGTAAATTGTTGTCTCACTCACATTTACCTGCTTATTTACTTAATTCATAACATGCATATCACTTCATCATTTCATTAATCATTTGCGGAAAGTTGACAGTAGAGAAGCACAAGTGTATGTTTGTATATGTATGTATAGGTATGTATGAGCATATTTATTTAGATTTCTAGCAAATAGTTAGAGTTGTTCACTCGTTTGCCTATTGAGATTATAAATACAATTAAGATATGACTCGGTAAATGAATATAAATGAAGACAACTCAAGTGTATGTATGAGTGTTAAATTTTTCATTTAATTTGTCGTTTGTACTCTATACACATCCTGCACTATCATATGTGTAAAAAAAGTGAAAAATATATGTATACCTTGCATAAAATTTGTTCTACTATCTGCCAAGTGAAATAAATATATAAAAATATATGTATGTGTATATATGTAAATAAAAGAAATTATTTCAATTTGGAGTACAAAAAAAATTGTATCTTGTTTGCCTGTAATTGATATGTTGTATATTGAATTTTTTTGAAATTGACTCTACAATTTCTTGCTTGCAAATATTGTAGAAAAGCCTTCCGTGGTGAATGATAGTTTGCTATTGTATCTGGATGCATGGAAAAAAAAAAAAGTTATATAACAGTATGAAATGAATCGTTGAGGAATGTATAGATTTTTAAAACAGAAATTCTTTCTTATGTTGTTATTTTAGGTCAAATTATAGTGGTGTCTGTGCATCAGCTCACTTACTACAGCAACTAAGCTCTCCGTGAAGTAACTGAGCATCCTAACATTTCCTAGCCTTTTAAGAATGCCACTATTAGATATTTCAACCTATGTCTCGAAAATGGCAGGTTTATAGAAGATGTCTTGTAAGAATACAAAATACAAAATTATTCTTCTAGGTTTCATCTTCAAAGCAAACCCTCCGCAGATGCAATACTCAGATGTCAATGTTTTTTTTATTTGTGGAAATATTTTTTATAGTTATCAGTCGAAAAGCGCTTAATTTCCTCAGTGATTCTCGTCGAGTGCTCTTAATTGACTTGAAATTGTGGTGTAAAAACCACGTTATATCTTTCAAATGGAAAAAATGCTTCCATACATCCGTATAATATTTTAGAAGGAGAATTATAATGGCAAATCAATACTGATGTATCCGACTATTATACATATTATATACTCCACAGAGACAGTCCTACATCAAAAAACGTATGTCAATAAGGCAAATGCGGTTTTTAGGCCAAGCATCATTAGAGATGAAGCGGTCAGGTTCATATTTGGCGCCAGGTATAATGTCTTCACAGCTCGACAGAGTATATCAAAAGACAAAATCCAAGAATAGGCGTCTAACGGCCGACGAGCGCCAGAAAGAGAGACAGACGATGAGACTGGCCAAGTGGCAGCATAAATGGTACACGACCGAAAAAGGAAGGTGGAATCATAGGCTTATTGTGAACCTAGCAGCCTGGTTTGAGAGAGTACGCAGAGAGACAGACTTCTACTTGACACAGTTCTTGTAGTTCTTGTCGTGCACTGCTTTGGCCATGATGCCGGGAATGAATGTTCCTTATGTAGCAGTACCGTAGAAAATGTAGAGCATATCTTTTTTTTCTTCTGCTCGAGATATGAAGTGGAGAGATCTACTAAAGAGCAGATAATAAACGAAATGATGGCGCCTGACAAACGTTGTAAGTCACATGCTGTAATCGAGTTTGATATGGACTATAATGAAGGACCCATTCCAATAGCGCACAAAGAGCTCAGAATAAAAGAACGAATAAGAGAAGTGAAAGATCAGGTGAATATTCCTTCAGAGAGTATTTGAAGAGGCATTTGTAGCCCAGCTTGACCGATTGTTTTCAGTTTCCAATCACACATATTTTGTAGTCTCACCGCAGCACAAGCGGCATTATGCAGCTTCATTATGAGTAGATCCAAGAGTTTGTAGAGCTCTATCATTTGCATTTTATGTATTTACAGTGAAATAAAAAACGGTTAGCCGTAATGTAAGCCCAACACTTTATTCATGGAATGGGAAAACTTTTTATGGTGACTCAATAAAAAATTCATGTTTACTTGAAAAAATTAGAAAAATTTTGTTTTTTTAATATTTCTGTTTATTTATTGAATCTGCTTCTTTATCAGGAGCCACACAATAAGTTTTCAGATCTTAAAAATAAATTAAAATATTATAGCTCATTGGCTAGGAATGGGCGGCTAGCTCAATATTGCTCTTCACAAGAGTAGTGAGTTCCTTCTCTTCAGGTTTCAAACTTCTTAAAGATATTGCTAAAAAATTAATTTATTATTTAATTTATCTTTATTAACAAATGCCTAACTTCAATATGTAACTTATACCACAAATATTGTATAACTGGGTCCGACATTATAAAAAAAAAACGATTACAAATTTTGGTAAGATTGTCAATACTTGATCTCTCTCTCAGAACATCGACGTCTGAATTCTTTAAAAATCTTATTGCGGTAGGGTGACCCAATCAAGACCCACGAGGGTTCAAGTCCTAGTCTGACCAACATCCAAAATTAATTTTTATAATTGAGGTCACCACTCCGCAGGGAATGCTAAGCCTTGACAAAACTCGCTTTATCAGTTCCAAAGCGCTAAATATATATAAATAATTGTAATATAATGCAAGACACTGCCGATAAGTTTGACACGATTTGCTGTATAAAGGCTCATAGCTTATGGATCTAAAGTGTTACATTGATCTCCGATGACTAAAAAAGTTATAATCCAAAGAAAACTCTTACTTTTTTTAAAAAAGAAATTTTTTTTGTTGGAAGTTCGAACGCTTATAATTTTTAAAATAAAAAATCCTCGAAAAATATAAATATAAAAGGGATAAATTGCAATAATAATTAGGTATCATATACAAAAATATATTTATTTTGTAGAAGGAAGGATTTTCTATAGACCAATTAAACAATTTTCAAACACCAAAAATTCAACTCTACATTGCCCAGCTTTGAGTGGTCATACCTCTGAAATGTGTTGCTCGATTTTATCGTGCTAAAGCTTATAAATGGCCCAAAGTATAAATATGAAAAATTAATAAAAAATGTCCCGCTTGTTACGTGTTTAAAGAACTTTTATCCATCCATCCTCCATATTCCACATATAGTTTTGAGGAATTTTATTTTCCCTATAATATTCGCATACGCTATGATCACGTATTCCCCCGTCTCCTCGATGTCGCTCGGCAATTGGTTTCCTGCATAAACATATAGAAGCAGCGAAAGGACTCTAACTGGTGGATTTCCAATTAAAAACTAATAATAATTTCTTTTACAAAATTTTACTATCTTTACTTTTAATGACAAGAAAATATAAAATTCCAGCTTGGAACAAACCAGTGTGATCTGAACTGAAGCTAAGCACCGAGTACTTGTGATATATGTTGTGTAGCAAGATAGGTTAATAGTTTTCTAAGGTTGTTAGCAGCGCAAATAATATACGCTTAAGTAGCTTGCGGAGAATATTACGGTAGAAGTATTCCTTGGGTGTATTTAAAAATCCGGTTCGTCCCGGTTTTAAGACCCTAATGTTAGGGGAATTTTTGGATCCATATCCTAAAGGGGTTATAAAGTTATGGAAAAATAGCAAAATATCTGAAACGGATAGAAAGATTCTACAGACTATCATTGAAAGTGTCACTGAGGCACACAAAATAATATTATCTGCGAAAAATCATGGGATTTTAAATCTACCAACTGCTGCGAGACTATACGTCTCAAACGAGATGTCTATCACGATATATGGACACAGCTTTATAGCGTCATCGCTAAAAATACCAAACAAGCTACATTGTCCTATCTATCGGAAATTTTCTGACAGCTAAACCACAGAGATGAAGTGAAATACTCATATTTGCAGTTAAAGCTCTGCATATCTGTATACAATAGTATGAAGTCGGTTGTATTACCGTTAAGTAAAAAGGTGCCCAAAAGACTGACTGAGAAGGGAGAGCGAAAGTAATAAGAGCGCCAAGAAATGGCGGCTTCTATTCGGAAAAAGACGTATTTATTAACATTTTAGTGCCATTCAGGCGGGTCAATTGTTTCCTAGAAAATCTCATGTATGACTTACACTTTTTGCAAAGGAGCGGAAAGCCACACGAAGTTTACTAAATACCTGCAAACGAGAAAGACGTTAAACACCAGTGCTATTAACGAAGCTTTGCCTGTTTCCGTTACATGCCCTCAAATTAGGTCTGGTCGAGGGCAAACAAATGTAAAAAACTCTCGGAATGTGCAGAGATAGTGAAGAGCGTAAGCTCTGAGTAATCGTTAGCCGACAGACAAAGGTTGATTTTTCAATGCGATTTCAGATATTTGAAATAGAGACTTTTCTGTTATGCTGAAGGCGCTGCTCTCCCATCAACTCGACTACTTTACTGCTTGCCAACAGCGGCGAATTGGTCAAAAACCGTTTTACAAACAAAAATTATACTGACAAAAGTCTAGTCAAACTTCACCTTTCCGTGGTACGCTTTTTTAGGTTAGATTGCTACAGAAGATTATTCTGAAAAAATTTTTTCCTCGCGGAGAGAGGCTGCACTCCGTGTTCGTGGTCTGTGATGGCTGGAGAGAGCATAATTTATACTTTATGATTCCTGGAAGATCAGCTTTGTTATATTAAATCGGAACACTCTCAAAGGAGCTTTCGATATCGAGAAGCTCGAGTGATTGTTTTTGTTTGCAAATCCTTTTGCCGCTGGCAGTTCTCTGCTATGGAGGTCTGCAACTAATAATTTACGATATACAATCATAAGACACAAACTTTTTGCTTAATATATAAATTTTATTACAAGTAACTACATTTATTTAAAAAAAGAAAAACTAAACTACTCTTTCACCAAATCCTTCCACTCGCCGCATCAATACCCGCCAACTGCTCATCAATCCACGGCCTCAGCGCAGACACCTTCGCGTAGACGCCCGGATAGTCCTTTTGTGCACAGCCAATACCCCACGACACAATGCCATACAGCGTTGCCACACCACGATAGTAGGCGACCAACGGACCACCCGAATCGCCCTGACACGAGTCCTTGCCACCATTTCTGTAGCCAGCACAGAACATCTCCGTCGTTATGGGCACCACATATTTGTAATTCTGCACGCAAGTCTCCTGACGTATCAGATTCACATCCACGTAATTCAACATTGCCGATACATAACCCGTCTCGCTGGTTAGACCCCAACCGCTGACAAAGAGTTTCGCTTTCACCGCCAATTCAACATTCGCTGCTGCCAACACCACCGGTTGCACCGCCTGTGTGTACTGCAGTTCTTGACTGAGTTCCAATAGCGCCACATCATGATTGTATGTCGCAGAGGAGTAGCCCGCATGTCTGTGTATACGCTGTACGGCAAGCAATTGTCCACCGTAAGCGTGTTGTGAGGAGCCAGCGCGCACTTTAAATGAACTCGCAGTCATTGTTGACTCCACGCAATGCGCTGCTGTGATGATGATATTCGGCCGTATGATTGCACCGCCACAAATGTGCTGGCCCTTATACTGCACGGAGACTTGATAGGGAAAATTGAGTATGGACGTGGGCAAACCGCCGACAATGCGGCCGTCATAGTTGTACCAGTCATCATCGTCCGTGTCAAAGGCGATGTTGTTTTCATTGAACTGCACGTTGGTTGGTGTATCACTCTCGACGTGTAATTGCTTTGCCGCAGGCGTTGCTTGGCTTAAGTAGTAGCTGTGGCAAAGGCTGAAAATCAGTAGAGTCCAAAAGGTGTGCATTTTTTTTTACAAAAAGAAAAAAAAGAAGTTGAAAAATAATTTTCAAATTTATGTAAAGTGATTTCTTGCTTGGTTGTGATTTAAATGATAAAATTATGCAAAAATTCTCAACTTTTTATACTCTTTCACACGCCTTATCTTACCGTTGTTGCTTATCTTGCGCGTTGAGACGCCCACTTGCTACGCATGTGTGCAAATAAATTACGGTAAATACTGGTATCGCCACCGCTGAGTGTCAAAAAACCAACTTGAAGGCTGTTCTCATATCTTTTTATGACTTTCTTTTATTTACCAAGCATGTGAAATTTGCTAACTATTTATTTGGCGGTAACCTTTAACGGTGTTTACATTTGAGTTTAATAAAAAAACACTACTTTTCATAATTTTGCGTTCAAAATAAATATTTAACAAGTGCTTGGCCTCATATAAATATATATTTTAATGCAAATTGTTTCGTTTTAATTAGTTTTAAAAATGAAATTTATTATTATTTAAGTACATCGACCGTGAAATTCGGTTGGAAAGTTCAAGTTTTGCGAGTCACCTTTAGGTTATCAGTTTGTTTATGGAAATTCGCATATCTCATACAAGCATTTTGAAGAGCAGATTTTAGAATACATTTTATTGTTTTTAATTGCGTAATACTGGTTACTAAAATAATTACATAATATGGAGAAATATATAATTGATATAATTTTATTGATTAAGAGATAATACCAGGTGCGACAATGAAGTAATGAGACTTATTCCTTATAACCGTATATTTCAAAACTATTCTACAACTCTGCCATCCCCTTCAAAGTAGTCATCTTGGGCAGCTATACAACAATTCCGGAATGTCCGCGAGCACGCCTAAATGTCCTCAATGGATGCAAAATGGGTTCTTTTGAACACCGATTTCGTGCCAGGGAACAAAAAAGACACAGGGTGACATAACAGCCGAATAAGACGGTTGTTGCAACACGGCGATCCCTTTAGAGGTCAAATACTGACACACGTTGGGAATGTTGTGGCACGGCGCGTTGTCGTGATGAAGGATCCAGTTATGAGCGATGTCTAAGCGAACCATGTTGACTCGTTTTCGCAATATTTTGAGCACACGCTGCTTCCACTTCCACGCCTTTACGCCCCTTCTTAAACTCTTAATGCCATCGAAACCCCTGGTCACGACTAAGAACACTATCACCATGCACTTTTACAATTTTAGCGTACGTTTCCGAAGCTGTTTCGCTAAATTTGTCGTAACAAAAATTACATGTTTTTGTCGCACGTACCTTTGTCTTCATATCGATGGTCAATAGCGATCACTACTTCGAGAGTAAACACAATCCCTTAACTTTAAGTAGTTAAGATGGGAATTTAAAAAAAAAAATATCGAAAAAATGTGTATTTGTATTAAAAGGTGGTTTAGGGTTTTAGAAATAATATACCAAAAGAAGGATGCCGGAAAAAATGTCTAAATGCCAACATTTTTCATTCGAAGGCAGTGTCTCGGATATGCACCGATGGCGTTACAACTTTTAAGGCGTTTTTCTCGAAACCACTTTTTTTTTAACAGGCCGAAGATAAAACTCGAGCAAATCTACACGGGTTCTTGGGAAATTTTGACAGTACAATATATGAAATACCGTGATCCAGAGAGGTATGTAGGATTCCTTTTTTTTTTACTTTATATGGTTCAAAGGGGTTACATAGGTCTTGAAACTTCAAAAAATTAATTTTTTTTTGATAATGTTTTTATAAAAGTAGAAAGTGTCAGGAATATTTTCCCCAAGTGTCAAGCCGATCAAGACGAAATTGTAGAAATTAGAGAGTTTTATAATCCGCCGTCTTTGTTATGGCTTGACCGTTGGAGAAACCTTGAACGCGTTTTACTTAAAACCACTTTATCGAAATTGGTATTCAAAATTTGTCAACGACTATTGACGCGCTCAAGTTCTAATTTTTCAGACTTCTTTTAAGCATGTTTTTATAGTCCCTGAACGAAGGATGTAATGGATGAGTGCATAAGTTCGTGCCCGATTCCGCTGGATGCCGTTCGAATCGTTTGAGAGTGGCGCTCGTGAAAGGAATATATACATATTATATATCGTTGGAAAGGTTGATTTGAGTTGCTTAGTGAAAAGACGCATGGAAGATGGACAACGAAAAAGACCATATGCGTAATATTATGTTATACGAATTCCGCTAAGGAAAAACAGTAGGCGCTGCAACTAAAGATATTCGCGAAGTTTATTTGGACCGTGTTCCAGCACTCCGCACAGTAAAGAAATGATTCACGAAATTTCGTTCTCGAGATTTTAACCTCGAAGATCAACCTTGCAGTGGGTGACCTTCTGAGCTTGATGACGATGTTCAAAGGACTTTAGTTTGGAATAACTCACGTATTTCGACGGAGGTTGCCAGTGAATTGAACGTCAACAAATCAACTGCGTTACGTCGTTTGAAAAAGGTTGGGTACACTTTGAAGCCCGATACATGGGTGCCACATCAGTTGAGTGAAAAAAACAAAGTGGACCGTATGTCAACAGCAATTTCTTTGCTTCGACGGATCAAAAACGAACCTTTTTTGGATCGGCTCGTGACTGGTGATGAAAAATGGATCCTGTACAACAATGTTCAATGCAAAAGAACATGGAAACAGGCACACGAAGGGGCGGAACCGATGTCGAAAGGTGGATTGCATCCGAAGAAGGTACCGCTGTGCATTTGGTGGGATATCCGAGGCGTGATCTATTTTGAGCTCTTGCCAGCTGGAGAAACGATCACTGCCAACAATTATTGTCAGCAATTGGTCGAATTGAAGAAAGCAATTGATGAAAAACGTCCGATTTTGGCCAATCGCAAAGGAGTTCTTTTCCATCATGACAACGCCAGGCCACATGTTGCAAAACCGACCCTGGCCAAACTGAAGGAGATGAATTGGGAAATCATGCCGCATCCCCCATATTCACCCGACATTGCACCTTCTGATTATCATTTGTTTCGATCGCTGCAGAACAATTTGAATGGAAAAAAATTTAAAAATGTGGAAGACGTCAAAAACCACCTTGACACCTTTTTCAACGGGAAACCGCGCGATTTCTATGAATCAGGCATCCGTAAATTGGTTGAACGTTGGGAGTGGATTGCCGAACATCATGGCGAACACATAATTGATTAATAAAAGCGCTTTCTTCAAAAAATTTCAATTTTAGTTTGCACTTGAAATCGGGCACGAACTTATGCACTCATCCAATATTTTGTTTTAGATTTCAACACATTTTACAAACCAATATGTGGCCTAATTGTATGCAAAAATGACGTTTTTTGTAAAAAAAACTACAAAAATTAAATTTTTAACTTGTATTATTTTTCTTCGTTCAGAGACAAGGAAAATTCCCCTATTTTAGGAAAAAAATGGATTTTTGTTTTCAAATTTGTCAAAGTTGTCATGACTACCGCGAAAGCACTTTCTTGTGGACGGTCTACTTCACGACACTGCCAAGCGCCTTAAATTATACTATTTTTCATTCAAATTTTCATCAAATGTTGTCTACATAATGGACTTCTATATGTAAACAAAATAAATTGTATACTTTATTTAGTATCTTTTAAAAAAAATTAAAGAAAATAAGCTATTTTTTGGCCTTCAAGACCTATGTAACCCCTTAATCCGCAGCTTTATGTTGTGTTTTATAGTGAGAATTATAACTTATTGTTTAAAATTTCGCAAAAAAAAAATATACAAACTTTCGAAAAATGCTACGTACGATTCTTACTGTTGTTATAAAAGTCTAATAATATTTTTTTTTATTCAGGGCAAAAATTAAGGAGTTTACGTCTCCAGCCATCAGTCCATTAGAAAAAAGAGCGTCTTCGGAGAAATGCTGTACAGCGGCCATTTTGAAATTAATTTACGCAGAAAATTACGTATTTGTATAATGAAACCTCTATTATAAAATATGTATATAACAAAATTACACAGATTTGTAATTGATTCCTTTGTTGGGTCAAAAATAATGCATAAAATATGCCCATTTTACTGCGCTCTAGATCAGCTTCCAACCTTAGAAGGTCGTTGGTTTCGTTGCATCTGACGCAGTCCCATTGAAAGTTATGGTTATCAAGATCAATAAATTTCAATTCCGGCCATAAGAAATCATTGATCACCTTTCGTTAGCGCAATCCATTCACGGTAAATGTTGTGCCAACCTCATTTTCTACACGTTGAGGATGTAGAGGCTTTTCAACAATAGATGTTGGGTTTTCTTAGCCTCAGATGCGAAAGCTTGGCTTATTAAAGTTAAAGATCTTTAATGGTTTTTCTATCGAATTCCGTATCATTTTAATGCATTTCAAGGATCAGCGACGTTGTTGATCATGGCCCGGCTTGAGGTCAGCAGCAATATGCTCAGTTGTTTTTCATATCACTAACTTGTATTGCGGTTTGCGTATAAGCTTCAGAGCGACCGACAAATACTTTAGTTTTACGAACCATCTCTGCCAGGTTTTCACCATTTTCTTGGTGTATTTTAAGAATTTCAGTGTATTGTGGAAGCATCTTTCGTTCCATTTTTATTAATGACGTAGTTTTTATATTGTCAAGTGTCAAAAAATGACAGCTTCAAAAGTAATATCAATCGGAATATCAGGATATTCAAAATAACACCACTGATTGGAAATTTCTTGTAAATATATAATTGATACTTAGGAACAGCTGAAACGATTTTGACCAAGCCCCTTCTTGAAATTTTGTTTGTCATTTTTGTAATTTTTCCAACGTATAAATTAACCTTTTTTTGAAGCTGTCTCCAGACAGGATCACATTCTTTGCCTTAAGATGTTAGTCTGTGGTCTAATCCATTACATCGGGCATAGTACTAGTATTCCATGGACTACAGTATACACCATGAAAATATAAATCACCACTCCAAGATCCATCCTATTTAACGTCAACGTGTCTGGTTCTAGGCGAAGTTACTTTTAGGAGTAATCTGGAAAGCATTCAACGTATGATT